TCTCTCTCTCTCTCCCTGTCTTTCTTTTTCTCTCTCCTATTGGGCATTGTGATTTGCAATATTGATACTGGAAGGTTATCAAGAATATCCCTTTACCTACTTTTTACAGGGGCTTTATTTTTTAAAAAAATATTCCCTTGGGGCTGGAGAGATAGTACAGCATGTAGGGTGCTTGCCTGGCATGTGGTCAACCTGATTTGGTACCTGACATCCCATATGATCTTCTGAGCACTATTAAGAGTAACTTCTGAATACAGCACCAGGAGTAACCCTTGAGAAGTTCCTGGTGTCACACCCCTCCAAAAAAAATTAAAAAATATTCTCATTTCGGGCTGGAGCGATAGCACAGCGGGTAGGGTGTCTGTCTTGCACGCAGCCAACATGGCCGACCCGAGTTCGATTCCTCCGCCCCTCTCGGAGAGCCCGGCAAGCTACCAAGAGTATTCGATATGCCAAACACAGTAACAACAAAGTCTCCAATGGAGACATTACTGGGCCCGCTCGAGTAAATCGATGATCAACGGGAGGGCCTTTACTTTTACTTTACTATTCTCATTTCAAAAAGTACTACAATGTATTGCAAATACTAAACACTTGTAATTATTTGTTAAGCTGCCAAATAAGAGTATGGAACTATTCTTTGATTATTATAAATATGAGCATTTCCATTTTCTTATGACATGTCTTTTTTGGAGGGGCATACCTGGCTGTGTTAAGGGCTTACTTCTGGCTCTGTCAGGCGTCACTCCTCACAGTGCTCTGAGAAACATATGGGGCACTGGGGATCAAACCCAATTTGGCCATATGCAAGGCAAATGCCACACTCCCTGTTATTTTTCTGATCCCACAGTATGACATTTTCTAGTTGCATTAAAAAGGGGCAGAGGAAAGAAGCAGAAGAAAGAAGAAAGATTTCTTGTGAGGAACTAAGGCTGTGTGTGTGTGTGTGTGTGTGTGTGTGTGTGCGCATATATGTATGTGTATATATATATATTCCATTCTTCCATTGATTCTCTTATTTATTCTTTCATCCATTCTTTCTTGTGCAACTTCACTGTACACAGAGCAGGGACCAAGAATAATTTTGGTAAGGGATAAACCAAATTGTAAAGGTGTGAGGACAAAGTACAGCAATGAATTACAAACAGAACGATGGCTATTAAATGTCTAAATAGACATTTAGATTAAATGCTGTGTTCCCTCTGGGTAGAAGGAAATTGCATCTAACAGAGAAAAACGGCTTACCTGAAGTGTTCATTCTTTCATTTGCAGCTTATTGAACAAATGGGATTGGTGCTGTACTGTGGTCACTGTGTGACTAATATCAAGGTGGATTAAGAAAATGGGTAGAATAAGGACAATTTTCAAGACGTAGATATTCTTCATTTTAGAGTTCTGAATGTAAGGTGCCCTTTGTAAAGGTTATAGCATACTAAAAACTGGCCAAGTTTTATTCAGTCACATTGAGTTCACTAATATTCAGAGGGACGAAGTGCTCAATGTTGGGTTGACTTTTGAGGAAGGCACTAAAGCACACTGACTTCCAGGAGCTTGGTGATCTAGTGGGAGATAAAACCTGCAGGTACAAAGGAAGCAACAGTGAACAAATAGAGAATTTTTTATTACCCGAATTTTAATTTTTTTGTGGCAACCACAAAATGATATAATGATATGAATAAATGAGAGATCTGTGCTTCTATGGGAGTGCTCTCTCTCTCTCTCTCTCTCTCTCTCTCTCTCTCTCTCTCTCTTTCTCCCCCCCACTCTCTTTCCTTTTGGGCATTTTGGTTTGCAATTTTCAGACACTGGAAGGTTATCATGCATATCCCTTTACCTACTTTCAACACTCAGTTCTTGTCCAGAGTGATCATTTCTAACTATTATTGTCATACTGCCCCCTTCTTTATCCTAAATGCCCTTTGTCCCCCACAAACTTGTAGCAGCTTCCAATCATTGACCAATCCTTCTGGCCCCAGTTTTACCTGGTCTTGGATATTAGTCTCATACTTTTTTTTTATATCCCACAAATGAGTGGAATCATTCTATGTCCATCCCTTCTGACTCATTTCACTCAGCATGATACTCTTCATGTCTATTCGTTTATAAGCAAATGAAGAACTATCTCTTAATGCAATTTTTTTTTTTGCCAGTACCACTTTCTCAGTCTCTCTCTAACATTTTTCTGCAACCACTTTTTAAATTTACATTTATCAGTGCCTCACTAAGCTTCTCCAAGTACACAGGTAAAGTCAGAAATGGTGGATGGTGGCACTGTCAATACTCCTGCAATCAACAGTGTCTTCTGTAACTCCACTTACATTTGACAGAGGTTTTGCTTTCCAGCATTATCGCTTTTTGTTTGCATATTTTCCTCTTTCCTAAATGATTCCCTATTTTGATTGTTCCTGTCATATAAATGGGAGTTGAGAAGGTACCATGGTTATGCACTTTGCTGCCTGCACGTGAGCTAGATGACAATGCAGTGATCAACCATGGACAGACTTTAAAGGAGCACTAGTTGTACACTGACTGTGGCACACATATGTTGGTTGTTGAAATAGTAATTTATGGATGGAGGGCTAGTTGGGAAGTTTGTTCTTTTATACAGTTATTCTCAAATACAACCTACTAGCTAAAACCCGAACTAAGTTCTAGGTACAGGGAGCGAGTCTTATTTATTCAGATGGTGGTAACTGAAATTCACACGTGCTGGAACCAGGCCAAAAGAGGACTCCTAAAATTTCAGACCTTATTTTATGAATATGTGATGCATTTTTCTGTAATAAGAAGAAATCACTTTATCTATTTGATTTTGTAGGATTTTTGCATTTAACATATAGTATACACATATAAAGAATAATAATCGTGACCTCATGATTAATGGCTGCATTATTTATATAATGGGTTTTGGACTCACTCCCAGTGGTGCTTGGGGCCTTGGCCTTAGTTACTGCCACCCCTCCACCTCCCAGTGGTATATTGTTGAATAGTTACAGTATAGTTTATTTAACCAGTCCTCCTTTTGGACATGTAGGCTTTTTCTTTTTGTCAATTATTCACAGTGCTTCTTTGGTTGCCTTTGTAACTAAAACTTTAAGATAACTATTTTGTATTTAGAATGAATACCTTTCTAATGGACTGGAGCGCTAGCATAGCAGGTAGGGTGTTTGCCTTGCATGCAGCTGACCGGGGTGACCTGGGTTCAATTCCTCTGCCTTTCTCAGAGAGCCCAGCAAGCTACCGAGAGTATCTCACCCACACGGCAAAGCCTGGCAAGTTCCCCATGGTATATTCGATATGCCAAACACAGTAACAACAAATCTCACAGTGGAGATGTAACTGGGCCCGCTCGAGCAAATTGATGAACAATGGGAGGACAGTGACAGTGACCTTTCTAATGATAGAATATCTCATTTACACACAGTATATATGTACTCTACTTTTTTTGATTGGAGATTGCCATATCTGACTGTGCTCAGGGACTACTCCTGGCTCTGTGCTCAGGGATCATCATTTCTGGCAGAGCTCTGGGACCATATGAAGTTCCTGGGATTGAGCCCACATGAACCGCATGCAATGTCTCCAGTCCCTATACCTGTGTACATCTACTCTACAAAGGTTTCCACATCTTTACAAATTTCCTTTAGGGAGATGTACCCATTTAGGCTACTTTCAGCCACAAGGTGTGAGGTGTGCGTACTTTTCCTTAAAGGCTTGCCAGTAATGGCTTTGCTGATCTTCATTTTTTTATTTGCTTGTTTATTTTGCTTTTGGGACACCTGGGGCTGTGTTCAGGGGCTTCCTCTAGCTCTGTCCTTAGGGAACCATATGTGGATCAAATCAGGGTTGGCCACACATAAGAGTTACCCCTTCTACTCTCAACCAACTGTAAGAATTGCCATTCTTAACTGTTGCCATTTTCATAGTGAAACATGAAAATGGCAACGTTATTTTCATTGTTAATCTGAATAATTTTCATGGGCTTATCTCTGGAATATCATTCTTTCCTGAAGCATAGTAGTTTTCATATGAAAAGATTTTGTTTTATTAGGCCTAATACCTATATTTTGATACACTTATTGCACACATATATCTGTATATTTGGAGTGCATTCACATGTCTGTAATATTCTTGACTTTAGCAGGTGTTTTAAAGAATATGTGGACCCTAGTATTCTAATGTGATCATTTGTTTCCAAATGCTTTGCATTTTAAGTTTTACAAAAAAGGCAAAGGTGCTCACAACCTGGCAGAAACTCTAGTTAATTTTTCATTACATGATTTTCAGGAGATGGGGTCAAAAGGAGCTAGTAGGGCATTCAATTATGTGCTTCAGTATGTTGGAAATTTTTTTCCCCCCTTCAGGTGTACAATATTTTACTTGGGCTTGTTTTTCAAGTGCATTGGAGCATGGCTAAACATTTTTGGGTACTGCCATTATGTAAAGAAGAAGCCCAGTCTTGTTAAATATTCCTTCATCAACTTTGCAGTTAGCCAGTTATGGGCAGTAAAGAACTTGTGAGACCATGGGCTTTAGGCATTGGACAGGGGGAAGGTGGGTGGTGGAAGGTGGGGGCCTGGGGGAAAGTCAGGATTGGGGTTCTCTGTTGCCCCCTCCCACTGCTATAGAGAATGTGATTGGCTAAAGCAAGTTTCTCACTAATACTTTTGGATGGGTCCTAAGTGGGAAAGAAGGGAGAGTCATGTGGCTGGACCTCAGCTTATTGGAGTACTAAAAGTCCTTTGTCACACACTACACAGAACTGGAGCACAGTCCTTTTGGTGGAGAGCTGAGATACAATTTAGAGCCAAAGCAAAAAGAGAAGGGCTTTGATTTCCTTTTGCTTTTAGGCTGGGAAGAGGGAGGCTCAGCAAGAAAGATGTCGAGTGAAAATGTGGAAGAGCAGCCCAATAGTTTTGTGGACAAAGGAAGGACCCGGAGCCACACTTTCCTCAGTGTCATCCAACCGGTCTTTAACGACAGTATTTTCCCTTCCACAGTCTCTCCTGCCGCCGAACGCATTCGCTTCATTCTGGGAGAAGAAGATGACAGTCCAGCACCCCCCCAGCTCTTCACTGAATTGGATGAACTTCTGGCTGTGGATGGGCAAGAGATGGAATGGAAGGAGACGGCGAGGTGAGGCGCGGTTGGCTCATGCAGCCCTGACCCGGGGAAGCCAGGGTGGGTCCAAGAAGTGGGTCTGTGTGTGCCTTTCTCGAACTTCAGCACTTTGAATAACTGTTGCCTGGGTTAAGGAATAAAAAGATTCTATTTCTTCTCTTTTCTATGGATGGATGCGGGACAGTATTTCAGCACTGGAGCATTGTTTCATTCATCTGTGTTGTTGCAGTTTAACTCTTCTAGGCAATTAGAAGCAAATCTCCACTCATTTGCTATTTAATGGTAGAATATGTTAAAGAGATAAACACAAGCACCCAAGGATAATAGGTTAGAAATACATGTCCACATGCCAAAGTTATCTTTATCTGATTTATTGCCCATTCCCTGCTAGGAGGAAGATCACAGAGACAATGACTTGTTACTCACACAGTTGCAATTCCAAGTAAAAACCTGTAATTGAAAAAACACTTGGCTGAACACAAAGTATAAGTCTCACCTGAATTTGGAGTCTAGTGATCTGAGTTCAATTTTCAACTTTGTGGTCTATTAACTGTATAACACTCAGTTCAGAATTTTAATTTCATCAATAAGAAATGGATAATAATGCTTAGTATATGTTATATGAATATTCAAAATATGTAAATATGATATGAAATACATGTCTATGATATCATGTATATTAAATACATATGTATGGGTAGATATATGGTGAAATGTTTTGTTAAATCTTACACAACTAATTTCATTAATCTCACAATAAGAGACTTTACATAGATTCAGTGATATGTTCCACAATAAATCATCTATGGTATGTGATGGTTTTGTTATAAAAAGACTTTGATATATATTATTTGTATCAATGTTATTATTACATGGAGATTGATGAAGTACACTTTTACAAACAAAATAGTGTTAAAATGGGCATTTTATGGTCTGTAATTAATTATCTTTTCCTGCTTGGATGCACAGTGTATGCTGGGCACTTTTTTAGTTACTATGAATACAGAGGAAACAAAAGAACATACCATAGATAACTGTATCTTATTGAAAAGTTTTAAGTGAGTTCAGTAAAGTATTTTCTAATCTCAGGAATTAGGTAAACCAAACCATTATCCAAAGGTGGGTTTAAAAATTAAGCAAAGATAGGCCCTGTGACTATAAATGGAAAATAAATTAATATATAAAATGTTCTAAATTAACTATATAATTTTCATGTCAGAAATAAATTATTTTTTATAATGAAAGATAAGTAATAGCTGGTGAGCTATAGAAAAACACTAGCCCAGTTGTCTTTCCTTTATTGGGTGAAGACTCCTGTAAGAGTTAAAGAAAGAACTTTTAGTTTGGGGAGGATAATCTTAAAAGCTTCATACAGTATACCATTTGTAATAAAATCTTCACTAAGTTCATTGGATTTTGGTGTAGTTTTAGTTTTAATTTAGTTATTAATAATTGTTCTTTACAAGTTTATAAATTTATTGTTATTTTCATTTACTAGATATTCCTGATTGTCTTAGCCACATAGGATTTTTAATTGTAGAGCAACTTTATCAATTATTTCATTGGATAATGATGGAGAAGCTTTTTTTCTATAAGAATTTTTGGGTCATTCAGTCTTGTGGAAACATCTGCTTAAAAAATTTATCAGGAAAAAAGTGTAATGGGAACCATGAAAAGTTTCATATTTTCTATAACTTAGACTATGCTCAGCATTAGGGAAATATTCCTAAACTTTAATTTTTTAAATTTTCTGGGTAATTTTTCTCTTAGTAATATTCTGACATCTATGATGGGTGTTTTTGTCTTAACTCTTGTTTGATAACTAATTAATATTTTCTCCTATTTAAGAAGTTCTTTGTAGTTCATTTCACTCCTACCTCTCAATGCTTCCTCTGAGGCTCTTCATTCTTTTCTCATTAAAAAATGGTCTCTCTCCGTGATACAGTAACTGGATCTCATTTCCCTTTCTCATGGCCAATAACCTGTGTATTAGAAGTTCTCAGTAAAGCATACTTTTTGTACATAAAATATCCTCTGGAGGAAACCTTTCAAAGCAAAGAGACTTTTACTAGTCTCTCCATTTTTTAGTCTTTCTTTTCTTTATGTAAAAATAAATTTTAAAAATAACAGTGAGAATTGTAATGCTACTACTTCAGTTGTTAGGGAGATATTGGTCTGTACTTGCTATACAGCTGGCTATACCTAGGTGTTTAAATGAGGGCTGATTATATACAGGTCTTTTTTAAACTTGAGTTTTTAATTCTGCCAAATATGGCTCATTTCTGGTAGTATCTTCTCTAACATGTATATTTGGTAGCTTGAAATTTCAAATCTATTTTGCATAATAAGCTGTGATTTGAGAGTTACTTCGATTCTTATTTCCCTGAAATTTGTGGGAGTACTAATCTTGGAGTAAGATTTAGGTATAGTTTTACTGTTGCTATTGTTTTTCTGTTTTAAAGTCAAAGGTATTCCATACTTTATAACAGATGACCTTTGGTACCAGAAGGTCACAGTTCATTGTGTATGTAAATCAATGTTGAATAAGATGGGCATAATATTTTTATTTTATATTCTAAGTATTAAAATGGTCTTGATTATTTTTTCATCCTTAAATACTTTATTTCTTGGGGTCATATGTGTCATTTTGGTGATATCAGTTCCTAAGACACTGTATTTCTGGAGAGGAGACAGTGAGATTATGCAGTGTATTGGGGGAAGGTTTTTAGGAAGATACACATCCACAAATTGTCTACACTCTGAGACTCTTCCTTTATAGGATTTGCCACAGTTATTGTCACTGTCACTGTCCTCCCGTTGTTCATCAATTTTCTCGAGTGGGCCCAGTAATGTCTCCATTGTGAGACTTCGTTGTTACTGTGTTTGGCATATTGAATATGTCACGGGGAGCTTGCCAGGTTTTGCCGTGCAGGTGAGATACTCTTGGTAGCTTGCCAGGCTCTCTGAGAGGGTCGGAGGAATAGAACCCAGCTCGGCCGGACTGACTGCGCGCAAGGCAAATTCCCTACCTCTGTGCTATCACTCGAGCCTGCCACAGTTATTATTGTTAGTTATTACATATGATATCATTATTTAAGTTTTGCCCCCTTATTGCACTGTTGTGTTCCTAGTTTCTCTCAGTGCCTGGAACAAACTAAGGATTTAGTACTATTCAGGGTGGTAGACTGAGGCTGTCTGCCCTAGAAGCAGTTCTAAGCATGGTACTTTCTTAGAAATATTTCTTCACCAAAGTTGGAAGTCTGTTAGAATTCATCTCCACATGACTAACCAACAGGTAATGGCTAGGCCCACGTTGCCCAGAATAAACTAATAAGACTCAGAAGGGGGCTCATGTTTGAAGTTTTAAGTGAATTCTGAATATTTGATGCCATTTGCACCTAGTTCTCTAGGTTTCCTTCCTATATACAAAACAAATAAGTGAGTGTTTAATAGACATCTCAGCATATCATGTACCCAAATTAATTCACCTCAGATGTGTTCTTGTAAAGCTCTCACCAAAAGGTGCACCATTCCCATAAGACACTCATGTTAGAAACATTAAAATCGTTGACTCCCTGGGGTGGAGGGATAGCACAGCGGGTAAGGCATTTGCCTTGCATGGAGCCGACCCGGGTTCAATTCCCAGCATCCTGTATGGTCCCCCAAGCACCTACAGGAGGAATTCCTGAGTGCAGAGCCTGGAGTAACCCCTGTACATTACTGGGTGTGACCCAAAAAGCTAAAAAAAAAAAACACAACAACAACAAAAAAACACATTGACTTCCATCTTTGTGTATATCCTGACACAGTCCGTTTGCAAACTTTATCTTGTGCATAGTCAGATAATCAGACTGTCTTCTCTACTCACATTTAGTATTGCCATAACCCTGGCCCACATTACCATAATTTCTTTCCTTAATTATTTCAAAAGCATCCTTATACGACTGCTTCCCCTGTACCTGCCTGAAATGAGCCCATGAACAGCCTTTCATAATTCATTTAATTTTTTCTCTTATGTCTCTCCCCCGGGTTTGCTCTGTTCGACCATCACTGGCTAGTCATACTCCTGTGTCATGGACCTCACACTTGATATTTCTCTTTCCGCCCTCAGCTGTTTATCTCCCAGTTCCTGTCCTTCTCCCTTATCACTGTCTAGTATACTTTATATCAAGCTATTTCCCATTTCCAAAGAAGTTAAAGAAAATCCTATGAGAACAGGAATTTTTGGTTGTTTTGTTTACAGTTATATTCTAGAGTATGTAACTGCCTGGCGCACAGGCCACAAACAGAAAATACACCTTAGTAGAATGAATGAACAGAGAAACAGAAGCTTGATTCTTAAGTTTGCTGCTCTTCCAAAATCTTGTTTGCAGGTTTGGCGGTGTTTGTGTTTCTAGAAATATTTAGATTTTCAGTTATTCATGCCTTCTGTGAGAAACTCTATTTTGAGTGTATTTGTTTATTTGGGGGCCACACCCAGTTATACTGAGTGCTTATACCTGGCTCTGTGCTCAGGGATTACTTCTGGGATGTTGTAAATTGAACCCAGGCCAGATGCTTGCTAGGCAAGTGTCTTACCCACTCCCCTGTCTCTCTGGTCGCCCTGTCTTGAGTACTTTTGTAGTAATTTATGAACACCATTTTTGATGTTTAGTTTTCAGACATGATAGGATTATTGCATTAATCACTTAATCACTTAACTTCCCGTTAGTCGTCGATTTGCTCGAGCGGGCGCCAGTAACGTCTCCATTTGTCCCTGTCGCGTGCTAGTGTAGCCCAATGGCATCTGTTCGCTCCGGGAACATGAAGGGCCTCAAACCGATCGTTCATGATCTTGACGAAGAAGTCCGACCATCTGGTAGGTGGGCGGCCACGCGGTCTTTTGACATCCCATGGAATCCAGTCAGTAACAGCTCTAGTCCAACGGTCATCTTTAAATCTCATTACGTGACCAGCCCATCTGATTTTCGACACCTTGGCAAATGAGACAGCATCGTCCCTGATCCTTGATCGTC